AAGACAATCAGATATCAACCAACCTTTACTTCTTCAGTTTGTAAACTCCTATATTTTACCTAATGTACTCTATCGCTCTCCATTAATCTTTCCTAGGCTTCTCAAAAAAGACTTTATCATATTACGAAGGGTATTAAATGCTGTGAGTAGGGCTTGTGGTATGCCACTGCTTGATCTCGCTAATACTATAGTCGAGAGACACATAAACTCCTGTAAAAAATGGGCAAAGGCCGTACTGCACCCCCTTTATTCACAACTATCCCCTTGCATCTCATCAGGTAGGACAAGAAGTCAGTATAAGAAGTTATATGCTCGAACCACTAAGTACAAAAATTCTACAATACCTTATTTAGCCCGTATTTTATGTGATGAAGACACTGTTAGACGTGAAACATATAAGTTACTATGTAATTAGCACAGTGAATCGACCCTTTCACCGTTCATCTTTTTGTAATTTTATGGTGTCACCCTTTCTATCGCTTAATTATAACTTAGCGATTTTATTTTAGTTGTTATTACTTTTGTTACTACAACTTTATACTTTATGCATATTTTTCTCTTTATCGCATACTGTAATTTGCTACATAGCTAGTATAACAATGTTTTGTTACTATTATTACGTAATGTTTATTTTTTTTGTCTTTTGAGTAAATTAGATTCAATATTATAGTGAATGCTGAAAATTCCTTGTTGTATCATTAGTACCGTTTTTGGAATAAAGCAGATTATTATTATTATTAATGTCCAATTTCTTTTCAACAATGAAATCTATAGACACAGAGATGGAGTAGCTATGGTCTCGCCACTTGGTCGGTTGCTAGCAGACTTCTTTTAATAATAATAATAATAATTTACTTTATTCCAAAAACAGTACTTACAATACAGAATGGAATTCTCAGCATTTGTCACAATATGGCATCTGATTTACTTAAAATATAAATAAAATTAAAAATTAAAACAAAAGTAACCAGAGGAATTTGTCCACGTTTACGATATAAAGTCAGAAATATTCTAAGCACGAACTGAAATCATTAAATATAATAATAATAATAACAGTGAGTTTGTTTCAAACAGTATTGTCGATTCAGTTTGAAAATTTTAGCATGTTACTATAGAGTATTGAGTATAATGTTCTGTTGATGTAGTATAGTGAGGGGAAATACAAGATTAACAGTGGTAACACAGCTTAAACGGTGTTCATACTTATGAAAAATAAATAAAAACAAAAAATTGAGAGGATTATAAATGTAAGAAATACAATAACAATAAAGTTTGGTGCTGTAAGGGTGGAAGAAATGATTTGTTTAGTAGTGCAAAGAAGGTTAGTTGGTTCGTGCCTGACTCCATTTTCATCACATAAAGTACGGGCTAAATATGGTATAGTGGAATTTTTATACTCAGATGTACGTGCGTTAATTCTTCTAAAAAGACTTCTTGTTTTACCTGAGGAGACACAAGGCTGGAGCTGAGGGTAAAGTGGGTGCTCAAAGTCTGACAAAATTCCTTTAGCAAATTTGTCACATTTTTGGCTAGTATGGAGATCAGTACTCTCACATCTCCTATAAAGCGGCTTACCTTCTACAAAAGATACGTGGATGAAATGTTTATTATATGCGGCGAGAACTGCGAATTAAATGACATCATGAAAACATTCATCGCCACTCATCCTGCTTTCCTGAATCCAGCTTGTTCTGGTGGGGCTGGCGGAGTTCTGCATCCAGTGCATCTTTCATTCTCTCCGCGATGACGCGACTTAGTATTTTACTCGGCGTGGACAAGAGGATTATTCCACGCCAGTTCTTGCACAGGCCTAACTATGTCGCCCTTCTTTGATAGTTTGACGAGGTAGCCAGCCTTTCTTCTAATCAGTAGACACATTTTCTTCTTTCCAAACTTTTCGCAGTAATTGAGTGAGAACATCTGCCGTAAACTCTGGAGCCGTCTTCAGTGCTTCGGGAGGAATGGCGTCTGGTCCTGCTGCCTTCCTGGCTGGCCTTCAGTAGCTTGATCGCATTCAGGATTTCTTCTTTCGTTGGAGGAGTGGTGTCCACTGGCATTTCCGTGTGTTGTTGGTGGTATTCCTAGGCGAGTTGCAGGTGGTGGTCGATCCAAGAGTCAGTCCATTTAAAGTGATCAGGCCATTATTTTATTTGTTTCTCCTCCTTGGTGATCAGGTTCTCTTGAGCATCTTTTACTGGTTTCGTCATCTGGGTAGATCTCTTTCCGAATAGAGACCTGTTTATCTGACATAGTGTCCTCAGGTCTCTTTTACTGCCGCCAGCCTGTTCCGCTTCAATTGCTGACCAGTGTGTCCTAGAATTGTCTTTTGTCTTTTCTAGCACTCTTCTTCACTTCTTTCTTTATTCAGCGCACCGTACATTGAACTCAGCTTCTCCTTCTCCTGTTGTCAATCTTTGCATTGGGTCATCTTGTTTTTCACCATACCCTTCTCCTCTCTTCTATTAGCTTCCAAGTAGGTATCCGTTGAGAGTCATTCTTTGTCATGTTTCTTCTTTCTCCCTAGAGCATTTGTACACGTTTCCTCGAACATCAACTTCAGAGAGTTCCTGTGTTCTTCCAGTGATGCCACGTAGTGTCTCCGATTTTTCTCAGATCACATCTGTAGTGAAGGTGTCCCTCGTGATTTCGTCTTTCATTGTCTGAATGATGGACTTGAATTACAGTGGTCTCCATCTGTTTTCATAGATTTCAGCTTCCTTTTGAAGGTCCCTCGAACTAGATGATGGTCTGAGCCCACATCTGCTCCCATTATCTGTTTTGTGTCCAGCAGGCTGCATCTCCACTTCCTTGAGCAGCGCTGATATGAAATCTATTTGGTTTGTGATATGTCTGCCTGGCAAAATCCATGTTGCTTTTTGTAAATTCTTGTATTTGTACACGCTACCCCCAATCACCAAAGCATTAAAAGCGCAGAACTCTAAAATAATAAGCGCAGAACAGTAAATAATACTGTTTCACTGTGTGATACATCTAATAAACAAACTAATATGGAGGCGCAGAACTCTGTTAAGAGTTCTCCGTCATCATTCATTTCGCAGAGAACCTGTCGACCGATGATTAGTTCTACTCCCATTTTAGCATTCATATCGCCCAAGAAGATTTTGATGTCACCATTCGCAATGTCGTCCATTACTGTTTGTAGATGTCTGTTAAAATCTTCCTTCTTTTCTTGTTCCTTATCGTATGTGGCACTGTGCGTAGCATCGGATAATTGTTACCTTCATTCCTTCCTTTGGAGTTAAATCTTGCTGTCATGATCCTGGATGAAATTGGTTCCCCTTGCGTTAGGGCTTCGGCTGCCACTGGTGAAATCATGACAGTCACTTCCTCGGTGTGTTCGTGGTTGTCGTCTGGTTGATCAGACCGGAGTAGATTACTGACTCCCCAGTTATCAATTTTGACAATCCACTTCTGTCTCATCTGCTCTGGGAGATACCCAACACTTCTATGCCACATCTTCGCATCTCTTTGGCTACCTGGACAGCCTTCCCAGTCTCGTACATTGCACGGACATTCCACGTGCCCATTGTTACTCTTGCTTTCATCGAGAGAAGACATATTGGCTGGCTGAGTGGCTTCCCGAAGGCTGGATTTCAGCAGTCCGCTGCGTCACTTAGCCTCACCGATTCGAGTGAGGAGTAAGATTGTTATTTTAAGTTTTTTGTACTTTTAATATATTTTCTGGATGTTGAAGTTTCTCTAGCGGTTTGAAAGATTTAGTGGTGTGAGGTTGCAAGCCCCACGCCCAACCCTCCATCTTTACTCCGACTTTGGAGCGGCTAGAAAACCAGCAAGTTGGTTGACTAGGCGAGGTTATAATCTCATATACATATGGTAAATCATCTTAGTAACAAAAGGAATATATCCAAAGATGTATCATTAAAAAAACTGTAAACTTTTTTAGATAAGAAATTACGTGATATAAAAAAGTTAGCTGGGTAGAAACTATAATAGAGACAGAACATAAAACTGACTTTAACACATCTTTTAAACCTATCTATAAAAAGTGGTTGGGGCGTGTCGGAAAGTTTGTGGAAGCCGTAGCAATTAGAAAGTGTAAACCACCTTTATGCGTTCAAAAACAATTCGTCATCACACTAAACCTTCCTTGGTAAACTTTGTTTTCATACCATAGCAGATGTACCTCTGTTATTTGGTTTAGTGACCTTTATTATTGTTTTGACCTTCAATATGTCCTTTTAACTTGACCTAATTCTATTTTCTCACCTCTTAACTCTTAATTAATTTCATTATTTTTATGTCTCAATGGGGATTATTAATTTAATTGAAAAGAGCAAGAGCCCCATTGCGGTTAAAGACCTGAATGCGTTTTTACGTCACACTATCAAGTTTGCATTGGCAAGAAATGAAATTCTTTTTCTACACAAATGCATCGTAAGTCAGAATATCCAGAAACATACTGGAAAGTTTCGCGGCGTCATCGTATTTATCCAAATCACGAAACTCTTAAGCGTCACACACTTAATAATATAGATGCAATCCGTTCTCGGATTTATGATTTAGGAAGAAACATTGCACGCAGAGCACATGTATTAAATGAACTTTCACCTGAAATTCGTGTACAATTTGAGGACTATGTTGCTGTGGTTATACAAACAGATGCGACAGCACCATTCTCAAACTGAGGAATATATTAAAGCCGACCAAATCAAGTGGAAATTTCTCGAAATGCCCTGAAAGATATGTTTTTAATTACTCGTCGATTAATTTGAGTCCTACGCAAGTGGAAATATTATCATACGGATCAAAATTCTGTATCCCTCAATCAAATCAAAAGACACTGAATGATCAGGTGCAGCTTGAAAATCTTATCAATCAGACAATAGATCTGACAGCAAATTCACTTGAACACCTAAATCATTTCAAGTCATCAATATTAAATTGTTCTCATCAGTTCATGAATTCAAAATCGAAATTTCTCCAGCATCTCATGAAGGAACATTATATCCAATTAAAGGATTTGAACAAAGCAAGAACTACAGTTTTAGCAGAATAAAATGGTACCATCTTTTATTTCGTTGCCTTCTCGTCAGCTGCTTACATGGCAAAGACATTATTAAATATATTTACAACAACAATTTTAAAATACTTGCACAGAGTTCAGTTTAAACAAAAATCAATCGATCAATATACTCATACACTAAAAATATATACATATATAAATATGCAATATTAACCACTATTCCGAACAATAATAATCAAACACAATGGGAACTTTTAGCATTTCATATTCGGAGGAAAGAGAGGTGAAATTATCCAGTTACCAGGGCAAAGAAAGGCTGATAACAGCTTTTTTCTGGACGCCTAAATCAGGTTTCAGGCGCTTGGTGGAAATGGCTTCAGCAAACTTAAGGAGAATTGAGCTATTTTGCTTATTGATAATTTTGAACGACTTTTCGACGTCCACCTCATGACCCGTGTCGAGAAGATGCCTGGTGAGAACATCCTACTAACACGACCAGATGAAGGTGCAGGAATTGTAATAATGGATCGGAAAAATTATATTGACAAAATGCAAAACATCCTGACAAATTGAACAAAACTGCAGAAACCTGAACATGAGAAGAACAAGACAGAAATGATAGAGGAACAAATCACGCAGGTTCTAAAACGTTTGAAGAATGATTCATCATTGATAACCGAGCTATATGAAAGGTTAAGGCTTTCTGGATCAATCATTCTTCGACTCTATGACCTACCGAAAATAAATAAATCTGAATTACCAATGCCTACCATTTTAGACATGGCAGGTTCACTGTATCATTATGTTGCAAAATGGATAGTAGAACTCTTGGAACCATTAGGAAGGTAAGTATGTACCTATTCTTTATATGACACTTTTGAATTTTTTAATTGCTTCAATGATACTAATTTTACTGGGAAAACTATGTTATCACTTGATGTCTGCTCACATTTTACCAATGTTCCATTAAATGAAACTATATGCTTCATTTGTAACTACATAGACTTACATAACGTAAACGTATGAATTCTCACATCATTCCTAAAACAGCTAATACTTCGATGTACTCTCAAAGAAACATTACTCATTCGATTTGACCGTTTCTCTTCTCCACATCTCAAAAAGCTACGTAGAGATAAAGAACTGTTGTTCAAAACAAATGATAAGTCAGGTGTAAAAATGTTAAATACTCTGATAAAATTCGAAATGCAAAGACTGAATGTTTTATGTAACCAAAGATTCTTGTCATGTAAAACCCCTGCTAGTTTGTGGAAACTTTTCAAAGAAATTACTAGCGATAAGCGATGTACTTCTGCCCCATCTCTTAATGTTGATACTCTAAATAAGTCTTTCATACACTTTTCTGTCGATATCCTTGCTAATGTTACAAATCATATAGACAACAATTTTAATGGTTTTAATACCCTTGATGTGCCTAAATGTCTCCGGTCTCTTAAGCCTTCCAAAGCCTTGGTCCTGATGGTGTACCTGCTGTTGTCCTCAGGAATTGTGCTGATATTTTATGTTACTACTACTACTCTACTAACATTTTAATGCTTCCTTTTCCAGTAATGTTTTACATTTTGCATGGAAAAACATTAAAATTATCCCCATATCAAAACCATCTTCTCGTAGTGGTTTTAAATTTAGGTCTATTGCAATTACTTCTCCTTTTTCAAAATTGGTGGAAAAATTACTTTTACTTCGTCTTGAACCTTCATTGAAACCTTTCAATGATCCTAAACAATTTGCATATAAACCTGGTAGATGTATCTTGGATGCTGTTGTTGTCCTATATCATAACGTCGTTTCTTGTTTAGACAAAGGTGCCAAATATGTTCGTGATGCTTTCCCAGACTACACATCTGCTTTTGACTCTGTACCTCGGGGCCTTTTATTAAATAAGCTTTCGTTGACGCATTCTTACTTTTCTGATAGAATGCAGTATACTGTATATAATGACAAGTCTTATTCTGCCTCGCTTACAAAATCCGGTGTTCCTCAAGGTGCCGTCCTCTCTCCTTTTCTTTTTTCTTTCTTCCTACACGACCTGCCTCATTCAAACGAAACTAACTTTGTCAAAAATGCGGATGATCTGACTGTATCGCTGCCTACCACTTCCACGTCTGACTGCTCCAAACTTAATAGCTTTCTGTTGGACATCAGCAAATGGTCTAAGTCAAACCGTCTTATGTTAAATCCTTCCAAATGTCAGGTAGTTAACTTTGCTTTCAATCATCGGCGTGACATACATGATCTAGTTAGTTCCCATGACGCCTGTAGCATAGATGGCACTGAAATTGAAACCAAGTCAAGCATTGATTACCTTGGATTAGTTTTTTCCTCTGACCTTTCATGGTCATCCCACATCTTATCAATCTCTAAGAAAGTGTTTCGTCTTACCTTCTTCATTAAAAAGTTAAGACAATCAGATATCAACCAACCTTTACTTCTTCAGTTTGTAAACTCCTATATTTTACCTAATGTACTCTATCGCTCTCCATTAATCTTTCCTAGGCTTCTCAAAAAAGACTTTATCATATTACGAAGGGTATTAAATGCTGTGAGTAGGGCTTGTGGTATGCCACTGCTTGATCTCGCTAATACTATAGTCGAGAGACACATAAACTCCTGTAAAAAATGGGCAAAGGCCGTACTGCACCCCCTTTATTCACAACTATCCCCTTGCATCTCATCAGGTAGGACAAGAAGTCAGTATAAGAAGTTATATGCTCGAACCACTAAGTACAAAAATTCTACAATACCTTATTTAGCCCGTATTTTATGTGATGAAGACACTGTTAGACGTGAAACATATAAGTTACTATGTAATTAGCACAGTGAATCGACCCTTTCACCGTTCATCTTTTTGTAATTTTATGGTGTCACCCTTTCTATCGCTTAATTATAACTTAGCGATTTTATTTTAGTTGTTATTACTTTTGTTACTACAACTTTATACTTTATGCATATTTTTCTCTTTATCGCATACTGTAATTTGCTACATAGCTAGTATAACAATGTTTTGTTACTATTATTACGTAATGTTTATTTTTTTTGTCTTTTGAGTAAATTAGATTCAATATTATAGTGAATGCTGAAAATTCCTTGTTGTATCATTAGTACCGTTTTTGGAATAAAGCAGATTATTATTATTATTAATGTCCAATTTCTTTTCAACAATGAAATCTATAGACACAGAGATGGAGTAGCTATGGTCTCGCCACTTGGTCGGTTGCTAGCAGACTTCTTTTAATAATAATAATAATAATTTACTTTATTCCAAAAACAGTACTTACAATACAGAATGGAATTCTCAGCATTTGTCACAATATGGCATCTGATTTACTTAAAATATAAATAAAATTAAAAATTAAAACAAAAGTAACCAGAGGAATTTGTCCACGTTTACGATATAAAGTCAGAAATATTCTAAGCACGAACTGAAATCATTAAATATAATAATAATAATAACAGTGAGTTTGTTTCAAACAGTATTGTCGATTCAGTTTGAAAATTTTAGCATGTTACTATAGAGTATTGAGTATAATGTTCTGTTGATGTAGTATAGTGAGGGGAAATACAAGATTAACAGTGGTAACACAGCTTAAACGGTGTTCATACTTATGAAAAATAAATAAAAACAAAAAATTGAGAGGATTATAAATGTAAGAAATACAATAACAATAAAGTTTGGTGCTGTAAGGGTGGAAGAAATGATTTGTTTAGTAGTGCAAAGAAGGTTAGTTGGTTCGTGCCTGACTCCATTTTCATCACATAAAGTACGGGCTAAATATGGTATAGTGGAATTTTTATACTCAGATGTACGTGCGTTAATTCTTCTAAAAAGACTTCTTGTTTTACCTGAGGAGACACAAGGCTGGAGCTGAGGGTAAAGTGGGTGCTCAAAGTCTGACAAAATTCCTTTAGCAAATTTGTCACATTTTTGGCTAGTATGGAGATCAGTACTCTCACATCTCCTATAAAGCGGCTTACCTTCTACAAAAGATACGTGGATGAAATGTTTATTATATGCGGCGAGAACTGCGAATTAAATGACATCATGAAAACATTCATCGCCACTCATCCTGCTTTCCTGAATCCAGCTTGTTCTGGTGGGGCTGGCGGAGTTCTGCATCCAGTGCATCTTTCATTCTCTCCGCGATGACGCGACTTAGTATTTTACTCGGCGTGGACAAGAGGATTATTCCACGCCAGTTCTTGCACAGGCCTAACTATGTCGCCCTTCTTTGATAGTTTGACGAGGTAGCCAGCCTTTCTTCTAATCAGTAGACACATTTTCTTCTTTCCAAACTTTTCGCAGTAATTGAGTGAGAACATCTGCCGTAAACTCTGGAGCCGTCTTCAGTGCTTCGGGAGGAATGGCGTCTGGTCCTGCTGCCTTCCTGGCTGGCCTTCAGTAGCTTGATCGCATTCAGGATTTCTTCTTTCGTTGGAGGAGTGGTGTCCACTGGCATTTCCGTGTGTTGTTGGTGGTATTCCTAGGCGAGTTGCAGGTGGTGGTCGATCCAAGAGTCAGTCCATTTAAAGTGATCAGGCCATTATTTTATTTGTTTCTCCTCCTTGGTGATCAGGTTCTCTTGAGCATCTTTTACTGGTTTCGTCATCTGGGTAGATCTCTTTCCGAATAGAGACCTGTTTATCTGACATAGTGTCCTCAGGTCTCTTTTACTGCCGCCAGCCTGTTCCGCTTCAATTGCTGACCAGTGTGTCCTAGAATTATCTTTTGTCTTTTCTAGCACTCTTCTTCACTTCTTTCTTTATTCAGCGCACCGTACATTGAACTCAGCTTCTCCTTCTCCTGTTGTCAATCTTTGCATTGGGTCATCTTGTTTTTCACCATACCCTTCTCCTCTCTTCTATTAGCTTCCAAGTAGGTATCCGTTGAGAGTCATTCTTTGTCATGTTTCTTCTTTCTCCCTAGAGCATTTGTACACGTTTCCTCGAACATCAACTTCAGAGAGTTCCTGTGTTCTTCCAGTGATGCCACGTAGTGTCTCCGATTTTTCTCAGATCACATCTGTAGTGAAGGTGTCCCTCGTGATTTCGTCTTTCATTGTCTGAATGATGGACTTGAATTACAGTGGTCTCCATCTGTTTTCATAGATGTGCTTAGATGACTTCCTGTACATTTTTTTACATTTACAGACATCAAAACCTACCGTCGCTTCAATGCAAGCTGAGAACTCCCTCTTCGTTTTGTGTGATTTTAAAATTCGTGATATGCATACTGACGGACTATCAGTTGAACAGTTTATGAAACATAAAACTAGTCATGAAATTCTGGTAACGGAAAATTTACAAGGTCTACTATTTTTCGGCGACCATCTGAACACTAGTGATTGTCGAAGTCCCCCATTTACTTTGAATGAACAAAGAAGAGAATGGAGTCACTTATTTATCACTTTCGTCCACTCAGCTTCTCATTAATCCTCTAACATCATCTACAAGATCTGACAAAGTTTTCCGAAAAGGATACGAATGCATCTGCTATGTAACCAGAAAGCTTTGGCAATATGTAACATAAAACCGGAATTCTGTATAAAAAAATTTGTCCCATATCTGTCGTTACCATAGTTTTAATTTTACCATGTGATTCACACAACCTCTTTATTCTATGTTGTTCCATTTTGTTTTCTCTTATTTCCCTTTACTTTATCACATTCTAACATTTTATTCATTTTATTTTATTGACGATAATGTATTCGTCTTACTTTCTTATTTTATTGCATTTGAACGTGATAAATTCACCCATTCACATTTCTGAATGCACTCAATTTTCTTACAGTCTGTTTACGCTTGTCTACTGAACTTTGTATTGACT